TAGATCTGAAATGAGTTGACTCTGGAGTTAAATTTCAATGTGATACTGACACCTAATATTAGCATCATCATCTCACATAAAAACAAACAAGAAGCCTTCTCTATACCACACATTTAACTCCTAATTTAACAAAGGCCTCATGTAAAAATTTTACCATCATATACTATTTATAGCTAATACAAATAAGAGAGGGATAATATAATCAAAGAAAGAATTTGCATTATCCCTGTGAATCCTTAAAAAAAAACCCCTAAACAAATATAAATCAGTATCTTAAAGGTACATGAAAGTTTTCAGGTCAAAATTTCCAAACAAGATTTTATTTTCTGGATCATAACATACATCATATTTTTCTTTTTATACATTTTCTCAGTCTTCTCATTCTTAACCTAGTTCATATTAAGGCATTATTCCAGTGCTTTCTAAAGTTTACTGAAAGATAGGTTAAGTTCCTCGCTCTTAGGACTTTACAATCTTAAAGCTAATATGAACTGCGATTCTCCAAAATAAGTGGCAAGCAACATAATGAGTACAATGTAGACACAGTACTTTCCTAGACAGCTGACCAAATCTGAATTTGCTGTAGTGTCATTGATTAAATGAGACTCTGGCCTTTTCTGTTTCATGACCCCAAGTTGCATTATTTCCCTGCCATTTTTCTTATAAATGCATACAGGTCATGGGAGTATTTTAGGGATCACTGCAAGGCAATTGGCACCACAAGAAAAACAGCAGGCATTTTAAAGTTTGATAGACATTATGGTTATGTATTTTGAGTAAAATATTAATACTGGCTTATAATGCTTTTGTGTTTTAATACAGAAATTGTATGTCATGTTACTTTCTAAACCTCCCATATAAAAACATATAGATATTCAATTCTTTTAAATAGTGTTTAGTTTTCCTTAGTAAAAACAAATTTGTGGATAAAAGTTTCCTTAGACAGTCTTTAAATCTAAAAATTCCTACACATTTTATAGACCTTATAGTACAGAACACACACACACACATACAAAAACCCTTAAAGTATCACCACAGGAGATGGGAGGGGGAAAAAAGTCAGAAAAATATACAAAGCATTGAAAGGCTGGATGTGGAGGATGCCAGAGGGGAGCCGGGGAGGATTTCAGGAGGTTCTAGGCAAGCCCTGTGATGACGTCACCTCACATACATAATGTTGCAGCAGTCAGCACAGGCCTCCTGCTTTCCTATTGGTGAACACCATGTCAGCCGACATCAGAAGATAATCATCATTGGCCAAACATTTACAACTGGAGCAAGAAGCATCCACTGTTGTGAGCACAGACCTAGGAGGCTGCTGAAAGGGAAGGCAGAGCCCAGCTGCCCTTCTCACTCAATGAATTTTATGTCACCTTACCAATCACTAGGTGATTTTGCTCCTTGCTAGAAGCATTTATAAATTAAGTCCATTATTAGTGAGAATAGCAGGCAAAGGGCCAGACATCCTAGAAAAGAACAAAATGCCTCTCTTTTCAATGTTGTAAAAATCACCTGAGGTTTTCAGAGTAAAACTGGAACTCAAAAATGCTATTGAACTAAAAGCAGGCATTTTCTTCTACCTCATGTAGATAACTCTCATTTACCAGACAACATCAACCCAGATATTTTTAGCTTGACATGAAGTTTCAAGATGAGGCTTGGGATGACTATCCAAGGGAATATATTCCCTTGCATTTCAATTGCTTTTCTAATTTGTTACAGGTAAAAACTATTTGCTAACAAAGTAAAGTCTTCTCATCCTGTGTCTAGAACAATGAATATAGGGCTAATCATTCATCAAAAGTAGCAATAAATTTGATAAACTTGCCTCAGCTGGACACTTTAGTGTTTATACAACACCACTCCAAAATAGGGACCCCATTACATTAATATGTAATAAGGTAATGAACATGGATTATAGAACATGTTTAATAAACTACCTTTATTTAATGTCCTCGTAAATGATACTAGGTAATACAAACAGCATACTGACAAAACAGCACTCCTGGCAGTCCTCAAAATTCTTCAAAAGACAACATAGCTCATTTTTGAAATAAATTATAATTCTCTAAATTAACAAGTTTTGTTTGAGGCTATGTCGAGAAGATTTTTAAAGAACAACTGCAAATGATTTCTCAAACAAAAGACAGCAGAAATTTCACAACATTGTGCTTTCCTCCAAAAATTATTTCAAACCATTTAAATTAAGAAGTCTGGAAAAGTTAAGGCCCTGTGGTTTCCTAAACTTCCCCTGCCCCCAACAGAGTCTAAGCCTTAGTTATGGAGCTCCCTTCTCCTTTTAACAAAACAAACAAACAACAATAACAACAACAAAAAAAAAAAAACAAAGAAAATCTTCATTTTCTTATTCACCTGGTTCCAGACTTTTTGCTGTCGGGGCTATGGGAGGGAAGTTTATAAAACTCAGAGGTTTACACTACGGAGGAAAAGAAAAAAAGCAAGAAAATCAGGGTCAGGAAGACTTGCAAGTAAGAAGAGATAACAGCCAGCAGAGTTTTCTTTTTTGCGTGTGTTTTGTTTTGTTTTTATTGCAATAAGCAAGCCAAAAAGAACATAAAATCAACAAAGAGAAAAAACAGGGAGGGCGAAATCCCTGTGTAGGCCAATGACAGTATTCAAATACAGGGGATGACCAAATATGTTGTTCATAGGTAGTGCCTGCAATAGAGAGGGCACCGATCATTTTGTAACTCACTGGACAAGCATATTCCCCAGCATCTGCCAGGCACAAAGCCTTCTTTGAGGTGCTCCAGGTAATCTAGAATGGAATGAGGCAAGATCTATACCCTAAAGAGATGATAGGCTGGTGGGAGACACAGGCCTATCTGCACATATTCTTGCATATAAATAAAAGCCAGCAAAGAGACTGCCAGAAGAATAGTACAGGTAAGGAGCTAGAGAAAACAGCGGTCAGAGCCCAAAAGGCGAAGCTTAGTTGGCGCATTGTTGCCAGTTTCAGTCCCATGAGGCCCTGTCTGGCTCCGTGAGTACTTGTTGAGTGAATGGGGAAAAGAGGCGGGAAATGGTACCTGGAGGAGGCACAGAAAGTGACCTGAGAGAAAAGGCAAAAGTGAAAGAGAGGCAGCCTTGGCGGCGGCGGTGTAAGGGAGGTTCTGGCCAACAGCGAGGGGGGCCAGCCGGCGCGAGGGGAAGCCGGCTCCAGAAAGTCAGGATCAACAGCGGCGCAACAAGTCAGAGGCACGCCAGCCTTAGAAAACACAGAGCACACAGGGATCCTGGGCGAGGAAAGTAGGCTCCAGTGGTGTGACGAGAGATAACCACAAACGACTGCGGAGGAGACCCAGGCCCTCGGCCAACGCCCCCTACAGCCTTCAGCACCACCCCCCTACGCGGGAAGAGGAAGTGCATTTGGGTGGAGAAGGTCCCCGGGAGAGGGGCACGGCTTTCCTCAGCACCAGGCCTTTCAAGTCCAGACTCTTCTGGGATCAAGCCTCCAGGCATACAGCCCCCTTCCCCCACCACCCACCCCTGGCGCTCTCGGCCTCCGCGCCCCTGCCCCGCACCCCCAGTGCCTGCCTCACTTCCCAACCTTCCGAGTGGGTCGCGTGCCCCTCCCGGCTTCCGGCTTTCGCCCCCTCCGCCCCTCGCTCTTCGTCCCCGGCGCCACACGCTGCCAGCCGGCGGCCGAGAAATGGGAAGCGAGAGCGGCGGCCGAATCACTCGAGGCCAGTCGCTACTACCGGCGGCCGGAGGAAAGGAAGTTGTACCCCCTCCCGCCTTGGGCCCGCGGAAGCCCTCCTAGTGCAACGACCAGTCTTGGTCCCCAGCGCGCCAGCGTCTCCGGTTTCGCACAGCCAAGATGGGGGAGGGAAGGCAGGTCGAAAGGGCGCGGGGCACACGGTGGGCGGGGTCCCTCTGGCCCGCGAGCCCCCTCGTCCCGAACGCCCCACCTCTTCCCACACCAGGGAAGCAGCAGACCACTGCCCAGCTGCGAGTGCGTTCGCCGGCACTTTACTGGTGGCCAGTGCAGGGGTTAAGGGGAGGGGGGGGAATGTCGTCCACAGCAGCTTAGTCTACAAGAAGAGCGAGATGAGCACGCCCGAGTCCTAGTCTATTAAATATTGCGAGGTGACACAGGATTGCCTCACACACAGGGATTTTTTTAAAAGCCTGGTGGAGGGAACACAGTAGAGAAGTACGATGCTTTCCCCGACTGTAAGTTTGTCTGGGGAAGAGCCCCCAAGGACTCTGCGGACGCGGATTTTAATCTACCTCAACTCCACTGAGCAGCCTCCCAGTGAATTAGAACTGAGTGAGTCCAAAAGGCGTTTCCGTAAAACAAACTTAATGGCGTGGCTCCACTCGATTGGGTTCATTCATTTTTCCGTTTTCATTGTCCCCTCCCCCAACCCCCCCCCCCCCTTTATGAAACCGGAAAGGATCCGCGTGGGGAAAGGGGTCCAGAAAAGGAGGAATCCGGCTGGAGAGCCCAGAGAGGGCAGAGAAGTGGAGAGCTGCAAGGAGAAAGGAAGGACACGAGGATGGGAGAGGGCGAAACCAGAGAGCCGAGGTCGGCGGGTGGGAGAGGGTTAAACGGAGCCGCAGACCGGGTTCCCCTCCACTGCCTTGCACACTCCGCTTGCAGGAGGCCAAGCGAGAAAACCCCACGGTAGATGAAAGCCAGGAGGCAGCACAGGTAGAGAACCTGGACTGTGGCATCTCTCCTGCCTTCCCTGCCACGCAAACATCTTTATGTATGTACACACACACACCCAGTATATATATTCCATGTTATATAATCTGTGTTAAAGATGCAAGTGTAGCCGCGGTTCGCACAGGGGCATCCAAACCTACGTGCTTCAGGCAGCCCCTGCTCTCAAGGGCTGGCTCTCTGCGGCCCGCGATTCCCCCCCCCCCACCCCCTCCATTCACGCCCAGGCAGGGAACACTGGCATAAAGGTGCACTAGGAAGACGCGCAGGGCTCCGGGACACAGATCCCGTGAAAAGCATCACCTACCAGTTTTCCTGCATCCATTGGATGGCTTCATTCTCGTTGAACTGCTTTTCGAATTCATATTCTTGTAAAGTCAACACTGACATGTTCATTGGGGCTGATCTTCGGAGACGCTATGTGTTCTCTACACAAAATAAAATAATCTGTAAAACGCTAGGTTTCGGGCGCTATGTTTCCCCCACCCGCCCCCCAGGTCTTCCCCTCGCCGCTGGGTCGCGGCGATCGGTCTCTCCCAGCCTCTCAGCTACATCCAGGGCTGAGCATTGCCTGCGCTCTGCTTCCAGCTCCGCGTTCTGGGCTCTTCTCTTCCCGGCGTCCGCATCCACCGTAGGAGGAAATGAATGCCTTGCGGTCTTAGTGCCCGCACGTTTGTCCATCACCCTTTTTACTTGTCTACAGGGAAATCTCCTCCCCCTCGTGCGACTGGAAAAATTAACCCTTTGCGAGGGCGAGCGAGAGCGGGAGAGACCTCTCTGGCCTGGGGGCGTTTGCGTAAGCACGAAAGTGACTAGGAGAGTGGAAGGAGGAGAGAGAGGAAGTGTTCCCAGGTCAGCCACAGCCCCCAATACCGACCTCGTGGGCCGCCCAGCCTGGTCTCTGAACGTAGTTTCCGCATGCGGGGCGCAGCCCTGAGGCGCGCGTACTCGCAAGCTTGGCTAATAGGCAACAGGCAATAGTAAAATCTGCCAGCTGTCTTATAAGAACTCCAGGCAAATTTGTACCGAGATTACACGTGAAGAAAACGCACTTGCCACCTCCTTACCCTCGCCGTATCTTCCAGATCCTCCACCCAGAGCTATGGGTTTGACTCACTTAAACCCGGGGGCCGGGCGGCCAGCAGAGCTCCAAAATGACTTGCCAGCTGAGGGTGCTGAGGATAGGATGAGGATGGTGGAAAATCGAACAGGAAAGGTATCTTGAAGAGGGAGATAAATTAGGTGGAGGGAGGGAAGGTGGGAGGGGGCAAGGGAAAGAGGTGGGGGGGAGGCAGAGACAAATGTATTTAAAAAGTAAATAAATTTTTAAAAAAGCATTAATTAAAACTTAAAAAAAAATTAGGTGGAGGGCTTTGGGGACGGGGAGGGGTAGATTTAATGAACTGAGACAAAGAGGGAAGGGAGTTAGCAGATAGGAAAACTGGATTAACTGGTCCAATGCAAAAACTTTATTTATATCCATGAGAAATTTCTCTTTATTGTACAGGTAGGTGGAACAAAATAGTTTGAGGAGAGTGCTAAATATTATGTTGACCCCTACTGCCCCCCAGTCTCACAGTAGTGTTTTAGCCCTGGCTTCTACATACATCCTTCTTTCTTTTCTCAGAAGAGTACTTTTTTACTCAGTGAATCCATCCACACATTCCCTACACATAGGAAAAATGAAATATGAGACATGGAGCATCTAATAATATAATCTATATATGTAATTGTAAGCTTAAAAATAAAACAATAAGGAACTTCTGCTATAAAAATTAGGTGAAATTAGAACTAGGAAAAAATTTCCCTCTCTTGTGGGTGGCTCCCTACCTCCTTGGTAGTCCAAAAACAAGGTATTTTCATTCAAAATAAGAGTCTAGAAACCACTAGAAACTGGGAACTAGGAGAAACATCTCTGTCAAGGAGGAAAGTATAATAAATTAAAGAAGGTGTTTTAAGATTCCACTACAAGATTATATAAATTAAATGGCTAGGCTGGTTGATGATTAGCAAATTAATTGATTTACAAATTGACATTCTCAAAGATTCCATATGTGGAATTTTTAAAGAGTTGTCATTCTAGAGAATTCTGCAGTACAATTCTCAGTGAAGGTAAAATTCAAGCCAAAAGAGGCCCCATCGGGCTGGAAGGTAGGTATGGCCCGATGAGGTAAGGATTTTAGCACAGTATCTGGGCCTATGAGCAATCAATAAATAGAAAATGAATGCAAGATTGATTTTAAAACTATGAAAGAGAAAAAAATCCAGCAAACAATTTACTGTATGTTACAAGGATAAATCCTGCTTATCTTTAAAGGATTCAGTTTTTTAAATTTTGTATTCTTACTAGTCATCAAATCAATTTCAAACTAGTCTGAGAAATTCTCATTTATTTTCCATGTTTCTTATTCAAATATTGTCTGACTGCCCATTCGTTTTCTAAAGATGGAATTGGAGATATGTTAAAAACAAATATCTAATTTATTCTTAATAGTGTCTAAAGAGAAATTATTTCAAAGTGAGAGATATATCCCCATTTCTTAACCTTTGAAATGGACAATTACAAAACTATGGTAAATGCTTTGTAGTACTAAGTGCTGCTGAGAGTATTAAGAGCAGGCACTGTCCTTGGCAGTGGACACTGGTGACAATCTGGAAAGCAATTCGGCAGTCTGTATGGTCATTTTCAATTCACTTATCTTTTGCCCATTCTTTCACCAGACATTTCTGGAGGATGTGCTCTTCTGAGCTCTTGGGACTCTGTAAGAAAGAATAGAGACAGGGTTCCTACTCTTTTGGAGCTCACATTCCAGAGAGGAAGACAAAATGATTTAATAGAAAGTGAAGTGTTAAGATTAAAATTAAACTGCATATGTGAAAGCGTGGGAGTGCTCATTTAAACCCTGAAGGCCTCACTGGGAAGGCGACTCTTTTGAGTTGAAACTACAATGACAGAGAGACAGCCCTCTGCTGCGGGGTTACAAGAAGCAAGAAGTCCAAAAACCCCGGGGTCAGGAATGAGACTGCAGAATTGAGAGTAAAGATCTTGTGTTTTTCCAGGTCATAACTGACAGGTTGAAGAGGCTACCAGGAGCTGGTAAATCAAGACAAAATATTTGGATTTGATTCTAAGCTGCCGTGGGGTAGAGGAATATTAAAGGGTTTTTAGCTGGGGAATAGCATGATAATTCCTAGTAATTCTACTACTGGAAACTTATTTTGTGGATACATTCACAAAAGCATTCTAAATATAAGATATTTTTCAGCATTATTTGAAATAACAAAACACCCTTCTAATGCAATATTACAAAGCCTTTTAAAAAGAAGTATTTCTGTAGGTTGCAATATTGTTATGGAACAAATGGATCTGTGGGGGAGAGGGGTGCCCAGATGCTATTACTGAAACAACGACGACCCCCCTCCCCCCGCCTCCGCTTCCCCCAGGTTCCCTCAGTGTAAGTCCTTTGCCCCCCCCCCCCCCCGCCCTTGGAATTATGACTCTGAATGGCAGAGTTTGGTGAAAAGGAATTATTTATTCAAAAGTTATACAGGTTTGATTAATGGCTAAATAAATCCATAACAATGTGGCAACTTCTCACAGCCCACTAGCAAGAGTTGTTTCTCCCCTCTTTCTTCCCGTGTGGTCTTCACACTGTTCCCTAGAGTCTGTGTCCCTATGTCTCTCCCACAGGTCCCTGTCTCTCCTCTTCCCTCTCCCAGTTACATTCTGTATTAAGTCTTTCAAACCTTCCTGATTAGCCTTGGTGATATGCAAAATAACTCTCTTTGCATATGAGGAATGAAGCTATCCTGTTACTGACAGGCAAAATGACTCTCAATGGCCCTGCTCAAGGCTCCCATCCCCCATGGCGGCCTGCCCTGGGGTGGGGAGAATATATTTTTCTTGGACACCCCAATCTCTGGACCCCGTTACAAACACCCTTTGGGAGGGCCTGGATGTGTCCTGTTACAAATCCCCCCTTTCAGACACCCCACTTTATAATCTTAACAAAGTACAATGGGCAAAGATCTCATTATATTCTTGTAGCTGCTTCCTGCTGGGCATTGGCCACTGTCCTACCTACTTCTGGGTCTGGGGTCTCTGAAAGAGTAAGGGGTGGCACAGAGGGTAGCATTCCCATGAAGGGAGGGACCTTGCAGAGTCCAGGTCAGTTGTCTGTTACTGGGGAGTGGCAGGCTTGACGTCCAAAGGCTGGCATTACTGGACAGTTGGCATCCTTGTATTCTGGAGGTGACAGATTTGGCAAGATGGTTAAAAGGCACAATTAAAACATGACAGCTAAATGACAAAGGTAGGAACCATTCTTCAGCGTCCCAGATTAGGGAAAAGAACAGCTTATCTGGAGGAAAGGGTACAAGGCATGCTTCACCTGTCCAAAACCCTTTTCCCCACTATACTTACCTCGGACTGAGGGGAATACTTTAGGATTTCCCCCCTTTCAGATTTCTGGACCCTCTTTGTCCAAACCATTCGGGGAGCGAAGGGAAAGCAGTATTAAAGTGAAGCCCACAGACCGCCCCAACACTTCACCAACTCAACAACTTAGTTCAGCTGAGCCGTTGAGTCTCAGGGTAGGCGATGATGAAGATGGGCTCCTTGCAACACATCTACACTGCAAACAATCACTCCGGTACTGAGATCATAGGTATACACCCTATGAAAACAGGAGGAAGAACACAGATGTTAATTCATACAGAAACCCACCAGCCAGTCTCTGTGCCTGTGAGACTCTCTCTTGGGGAGACATCCAGTTGAGAGGCCTTTGCTGAAATGACATTTAACAGTGGCAATTTGACAGGTCCTTTGTGCTTGTAAATTAAACATCTTTGGTGATATTACAAACCCAGTTTTAACTTCCGAATGAAAACATACTTTCAAGACAGTTAGCTACGCCATTCCGATGTCCAATGCTGAGCATTGCAATTTTCCTTGAACCACGATTTTTCTCCTTGAGAGCACCCTCATTGTCATTAAAGGGACTACATTGAGTCGTTTTTCAATTTTGCCCATTCATTTGCATAAACACACCAAAAGCGGTCATGCATCATCCATGATCTTTAAGTCCACTTTGCTGGAACTCATAGAGGGAACCTTGAGATTGACTTTTTAGTCTGCCCTTCAGGGCACAGAAGCTGAGCCACACATCTGCCATCTGGCTTTGCCTGTACCTGTTGTTTCACTCAAGTCCTCGAGGCCTCCATTGTGCCTGCAGGTTCCTTTTAGCCATCTTTCAGGAAAGCAACCCTCGTTCCTTCCCTGGAAAGACTGCCAGAAACCACACAACTGACCAAGGTACCAGGCCTTTTCTTTTCTTGTGGGCTTTCACTAGGTTCGCTCCCCGGGGCTTTCTGGTGACATTCAGAACCCAGACATGCCTCTTCAGGCATGACATTCCAGTCCAAATCTTATTTAACAAAACCACCATTAATGACTGGTCTTATTG